TAAAAAAGTATTGTAAAACAATATAAAAAAGTCTTTTATCAATTGTGTAACCGATCTACAAATGATGGGACGTTCACTCCTGCTTGTAAATAGTGTAATTTTCTATTTTGATTTGCACGTTACACAATTTGTAAAATTAATACCCGTGTACGATACACTACTTGTAAACTAAGAAATTTTCTAACTTCTAATTGGGTTATTTATAATAATTGTATATAAATAATTATAATATCTTAGTAGGATTATTATGAAAGTTACGCTGTTAAATACTATTTACGTAACAATTCATGTCTATACGTATTATAATAACAAATATTGATTTAAAATTTCGGTTTATTATGCCGTATATGAAATTAGAGAGCTTACTTTCAAACAATATTTAAATACCTTTATAAACCAAATTAACCAATTGTAATTGATAAATAACTTTAGTTCTGTCTTTCATTGTCAAGAATACTATTACTTTTGATGCAGAATTAAAGATGCCAAAGTTTTTTATTACGTAATTAAAAAACAGATTATGCTTATGATTATGATATTTTCTGTATTTAAATCCAGATTTTACTATTGATGAAAAAAATATTTAAAACTGTTTTTTTACCATCCCTATGCAGAATTATAATTGGATGCCGAATTCTTTGCATAATGTTGCTATGAAATGTAAATACCGTATTGTCGCGAAATAACGGCAGGGGTGAAATTACGAATTTCGGCCCAAATTAAGCTTAATTCGGACCATTATTCTAAATAACGCCCATTCCCGTTATTTCGTGACAATACGGTAATACGTGATGTTAACAATGAAACATAAGTAACTCTATGAAATTCTAACCATTGCGATACTTTCTATTTTTCAATTTCAAACTATATAATATGCAAATTTCTTCATCAGCGATAAAATCGCTGTTTCTGCAATGAAAGTCCAATGATATAAATTATAATCGCTAATATTCCAACCCACGATGAATATAGAAACATTTTAACAGCACCAAAATATCCATATAGTATCCCCCCGACAATCTGTCCAAGGCCTTATGCGCATACGTGAAACAGTCATAAAAATTAAATTTTTTTTTTTTGGAACAATACGCGTTGTATTTAAACACTGACCTGTCGACAAGCTTTCTGTGGCTGTAAGTATACCAAGTGCTGTAGCCCTTAATCTTGGTGGTGATACCTGTGAAATAATATCTAAAGATGCTGACTTTACTAATGCAAATTCAATTCCTTGGAGCTATTGAATAATAGTTATTGTAAGCATTAATAAATGATCATAATTTACTATTATGTATTATTATTACCGTCTCGATCGGGAGAGATAACCAAGGATTCATAGTTGTACCAAAAAATGCGTATAATGCAGCTCTAAGAGTGGATGTAATTCCTCCTGCCACAACAATGACTTCTGGAACATTAGATTCCGAGATATGTTTCCCATAATAAAAAACTCCTATTTCAAGAGTTATTCCTACAAAGGAACTTAACCCCAACAAAGATGCTTCAGCTTTAAGGTCCTCTAATTTGGTAAATAATTGTTAGGAACAAATTGATATTTAAAAAAAGGAATATTTTTAAAGATAAAACCTGATAAAAATATATAAAGAAATGTTGATATTGCTGTTTTCATCGTGTGCGTCGAAAGCAACACGAAAAGAAATAATAATAATCGTGGCTTTGTGATAAGTTGAAAGAATGCTTTCATAAAAGGTGTTGGTGCTGTTTCCATGATGTTTGTATCCACAACTTGTGTGGGTGTTTCATTTTGTGTACGCCCGAATTGATCGAGGCTTACTACTTCTATATCTTCTTCAATTAATTCATCATGATGATCTGCCTTAAAATCTCCCAGAGGTGTTAAATATATAACTAATAAAAATAGTCCCATGAAAAATCCAAATGTGAAAAACATGGCGTAAAATGACTTAAATCTATCTATCAGAAATCCAAGCATGGCTATGGAAATCCCGCAACTTAAGGTTCCGAAAAGACGCTAAATAACATAATAATTATGTTTAATAACTAATGATTGCTTAATGTAAATAATACTGATTACCTGACGTCCAAATTCCGCAGAATCTCCTTTACGATTTAATACATCTGTAATTTATCAAAAGACATAGAACTATCAGCATGGCTTTTATAAGATGTAAAATGAAAATACTTACTTATGGTTAGATTATCGACTAATGTCGAAACTCCCCCATCAAACGTTGAATAAATCAAAAGGTTGATAAAAAGACCACCAAAACCAAAATATTTCCCCGTAAATGGTATGGACCAAAACGCAAATATAATACATGTGGTACATAAAATCATAATTTGGCGATGTAAATCCCGTTTATCTGCGAAAATCTTTATTTAATTATAGTTAGGTTAATTATATTTGATCAATTTACTTTAATAATTCATTAAAATGGATTGGATCTTACACTCCAACAAGGCGAACTAACGAGTCCCACAAATGGTGACACGGACAATAATACACCGATAAGTGATTTTGGTAGTAGAAAAACGGTTGATAAATATAAACTAAAGAATGTGAACGAACAATAAGCAGCAAGCAAGAAAAAATAACATAATTTTAATCTAATATAACGAAATGCCAAAAAAGGTCGTGAATATCGTAATATTTCCTTTTGACTTCGATTAGGATCGATCAGAGAATAAGCACCTCGAGAAAATGAGAAAGAATTGAAAAATTTTTTGAGAATCATTTTGTTTTTTTATCAAATAGCCCACGGTTTCATAACACGAATTAAATCTAAATCTTCATATGCAATAAAATTCTTTTATTGAGAATATCCGATAATGACAAGGTTGCTTTAAAATACTTAAAGAAAAATCGATTAATCTAACCTTTCATATGCCAGAAAACGAAAATAGTGTTCGATTTTGTTAAGGCAAGTACAAAATTGCTCAACAATGTTAAATACCGATACGTATTCTGTGGCTTACTCCCTACCAATAAGTATTACAAACCGGTTTCGATGGTTGTTTTTGTACTCGATTATTTTCTAAACAATCATTAACGTTTACTAAAATGATTTATTCATAAAAATATTTATTATGCATTTATGTGATTATCATTATGCAGATTATGTAGTACACTGTTCGTTACCTCCAACCAATCAGCGAGTGCATTACATTATACTATCCGTTAATTACCGTAGTGATACAAATTGACAATCGAATTAATCGGTTAATCCCCCGATCACTATATCAAGATCACGGGAGGATTAATTAATAATACCCTGACCGTATGTGAATAAGCGGAAA